TATTATTTATTTATGAAATAAAATTTAGTTTCCAATAATCTTATCTTATCTTATCTTAAAATTAATGTCTAATTTTTTAAATTAATTAAAAGTGTTTCTATGTAATAAAAAAAATACTTATTTCGAGTTTTCTGGAAATTACGTTATTTCAGCAATTATTTTCTGCTATATTTGGATAGAAATTAAATAATCTGATCTGGCTACAAACAAGTAGACCGTATACTTATGTTATTTATATTTTTTAATGTTTGAAATATTTTGTAGTTTCGTTGCAAAACGAAGACAAAAATCACTTGATCGTTACTTTTCGGAAAAAGGGTTGTGGATATTGGTGATTTGCCATTATTATATAGATAATATGATACATCCCTTCAAGCCAGATATTAGATTGAGAACTAGACTATTATAATAAAAATAAAAAAAGTTAAAATTCGTTTTCCTGTTCACCCAAACAGTGATCAGATTTGTCCGAAATTAGTTGATTTCGCGCACGGGGCCTTAAATTTAATTGTTTTATTTTTTTTATAAACAATGCTGAACAATATAATTAGGTTAAATCCTAAAACATTTTTGGAAATACGTCAGTTTGAAAAAAGGCTATTCCAGTTACCCAAGACACATTGAGAAGTACATTGGGAGGTCAGATATATGATGAGGGTGCAAGTATTTGCTTATCTTCTAATATCTAATCTTTGACATTGACAAATTATTTTTGCCGAATGTTTTTCTCATTCCAATCACCTATTATATTATATGCAGATGATAAAAAATATACCTTTTAGTTAGTTCTGTTAAAGATTTTAGAATGGTATACATATGTGGATAGCTTGTTTTCTTTTTTATCAACACAGTAAGGTCTACGTCAATATTGAAAAATGTCATAGTAAAAGCTTGACGCGCAAAAAAAAAATACCAAATGTTTTTCCTTATAACTTTAATAATCAAATATTAAGACGGGACAATAACGTTCGTTATCTTAGCGTCTATTTCGTCTCCGAGTTGCTCCTAAATATGCATTATGGTAAATATTAATATAGCAGATAGAGCTTACCATATCCTTGGATTTGTTTTAAGAACCTGTCAACCATTTAAAAGTACTCTAGTATTAAAAACGTTATATTTTGCATACGTTTGCATACTGTGTGGGGTCGCCTTCATACGAAGTTTATAAGGCACGCTTAGAGCGTATTCAGAAAAAGTTTTTAAAACCTTTAAATTTTAGATGCGATGTATCCTCGCACACATTCATGTGTTATGTTATAGTGATAATTTTCGTAATCTTCTTTCCTTAGAAGAACGCCGTGAGATGTTAGACATGAGTTTTTTTTATTTGATATTTTACGCGCTTTTCTTGGCTGCCCTGTTCTGCTTTCACAAATCTCCTTTTATGTGTCCCCAAGTAGGACTAGACGTACATACACATTTATTCAGTGTTCTCTTACATCATACTAATTATGGCGAACATTGTATCCTCACCAGAATTGTTAAAAATTTTAACAGTCAATTCTCTCATATTGATCCATTTATTCATTCAAAAAATACATTTAAACTAAAAGTAGTACGGGCTTTGACAGGCGTACACAATTAAACTTAGAACGATTGTCCACCGGCGTCGTCACCGGGATGCCAACAAGAACGAGATCACGACGCCTAGGTAGGGCCAGGGCACATACATACATTTACTATAGCCGCCAGTCCACTGCAAGCCCGTAGTCCGAGCCCTGTCATCCCGACCGCCGACCTTTTGTGTAGATCGGCGCGACCGCTAGAACTCGGCCCAAGATTGTGACTAGCCGATGTACCGACATTACAAAAAACGTTTAAACTTGTTCATCCACACCGGCGCTATGATGTCGCACCGCGCCGACGCTCGACAGCTACAACCTACAACTTACTGAACTACAGAGATCGTTACGGTTGACAAGCCATCGCCGTCACGTCATTTTGATCTCGGCCAGTTCGTTCTCGTTGACGGCGACGGTGGACAATTGCTCTCGTTTACTGTCTGTGCCCCGCGGTTTCACCCGCATATATCACGCGTCTGGGCCGCGCGACATGACGACATGAGCATGACGACATCTATTTGAAACGTATGGAAAAATTGTCAAAATTAATGGAGTACTTTGTACATTATCCACTCTCCCTCACAATTTTTAACTATCATTTTTTTGAAACTGGAACCCGCGGGGATGGGGGGGGGGGGTAGGCCACCCTGGAGCGTAGAGAGTGTGGTAGACAAAATGTAACTTTGCTCTATAACGTACTTATAAAGTTACGGCCCGCTGTTGTGCACAGGTCTCACTTCTGAGAGCGTTTTAGGTCAAGGAATTGTCAGCCGTGCTGCCCCAATGCGAGTTGATGGGCTTCACATGTCTTCGAAATATTTTTTTATACCTTTTATTTTTCATTACATGCATGTTTCTTCACGATATTATCCTTCACCATCGAGCACGTAGTAATCAGCACTAAAAATTGCAATTAACAATTTCATTGGTGCCGGAGGGCATCGAACCCGGGTTGCTCGCCTACTGTGAAATTTACAGCGAGTGCTAAGCCTCTGAGCTATCACGGCCTAACTTACATATTATGGCGATAGATAAAAGTACTCCATTAATTTTTCCACTTTTTTAGCTAAAATACAAATATTTATATTTCGATGAATGGCCGAATCAATTAAATTTTCAAAATAGCATAGCAACTTCATATGAGTTTCAGGTGGATCTTGGCTAGACGAGCCGAGCACAAATTCGTGTAGTGTGTGTAGACCGACTTACAAGCCTCGAACGAGCGCGCTTCGAGCATTTGGTTCGTGCTCGACTGTGCGCCGCAAATTGTATCGCGTGCATCAATTTGCATAATGGTTAGAGAACAGGAGAACGATCGCCGTAGAAAATTGTGTCCCAGAAATATGGACAACATAAGTGAGGCGCTGTGACCGCTAAGTTCGGTCAATAAAAGTTATTTTCAGTCTATTTTTCCGATCAGATGTTAAACCACTTGCACATCCACGTACAATAAAATATTTCTCCATTTTTTAATGTTTCTTTTTGTCAAAAATTACAAAATTATGGAGCATGAAATTTTTCTCACCAATGCCAAAATGTGTACATTATTCAACCAACTTTATCTACTTGTACTCATAACTAACTTCGCAGTCACTACTCACCGACGTCAGCGCCGCTATAAATTCTACAATTTTCAAGGACAGGCGGGCTATGCTTTAGTACGTAGTGATCGTTCTCCTGTTCTCTAATCTCCATGATTTGCATGTTGTAGGCTCGTTGTACGTCCAATCTTGACACCGCGAGTAGAGCGGCTCAACTCGTGTTCGGCTCCTCTATCGTAGACCAACCTTTAGAAGTAAATTAACCTTTCTTTAAAGAACATATTCTATTCTTTACTTTAGTCACACATATCTGAAGTTTAAGAACTTTATTTCTCATTAAGAATTAACAATAATTCGCATACTGAGAAACTAATTGTAACAAAATATACTTAGTCTACCTTGCCAGGCAGACATTGTTCTGCCCTTTTCGATGACCCTTTGTCATACATGTCGTGTTTAAGTACTTTAGGAGTCCATCGCGGACACACAACTTGAAACGTAATTTATATATATTAAAGATAAAGATTAAACGTACAGTCGAATATTATATCTAATAAGATATAATGTAAGATGTAGATAGTCTTCGAATCTTACAATTAATAAATTAATAACACCAACCGAGCTAACACGGATCTTGTGTAAAAAATGCTACTGGCTAGATTTGTATCTTGGCGGCAAAGTGGGAAATTTTTGAGAAAACTAAACTTTGAGCAAAAAACATCGATAAATGATAAAATAATGTTAATATTTTTGTGGCGGATCGCGCGGAAACCATAAGTGATATCGCTTTTGTGTGTATAAGAGGTAAATTTTTTTTATAATATAAGGGTGGCAAACGAGCACACAGTCCACATGATGTTAAGTGTTTGCTGTGACCCATAGACATCTACATCTATCCTTGATAACGAATAAAAATGCAGATGCGTTGTCACCCATGAAGCCTAAGATGGAATGCCTCGTTTCCAGTAAAAAGGGTCGTCGGCACTCTACACTCACCAAATGAAATACAGCAGCGTTAAGCTGCTATTTGACGCTGCTTTTCTGTGAGAGCGTGGTCCTTCCCCGGTCGAGCCGACCTATTCGTGCTACAACTATACCTGTAATATAGCTGCAGTATGGCTCTACCTCGTAAGAAGCAAATTTATCAAGTATCATTTCGTACCTAAACATTTTTCGTGTATCGAGTACATTTTTATTTAAAACTGAAAAAATCGCGTTTCTAGACACTTTCTGGGACTCGGGGGAGAGGGACGCTCACTCAGGTGCGGGAGGGGAGTGAATAAAATGTAACTTTGCTCTATAACGTACATATGCCGATAGATAAAAGAACTCCCTTAATTTAGCCAATCTTTTAGCTAAAATGATTGAACTAACATCATTTTAGCGTTCACTTCTACTTTCTTTCGGTTATCATCGGGCGGCTAGGACTTGTGCGTCGTTCGCGCGTCGAACCAAGTGTTGAATTATTATAACTTTTCATTATCTCTTAATCTATGCGTCCAAATACAAAAAAGAGCAAAGCTTTCTTCATAAAATTGTCTTGATCATCATCATGTAACTTCCATTCGTAAGGATTAATATGACCATGCCTAATAATAAGCTCATAAATAACTTTTTAAGTTTTATTTTTTGTTACATAATTCCTTATTGTGGCTTACGTCTAAGAAATAGGTATGTGGTATCGCTGTGTTTCTTTTCGTTGGGAAATCTAGCTTCCCAGGTTGGAGGTTTTTTTTACAAACTAGTGGTAAAGCTTAATGACTATTTTACTATATTGCGACGAGCACTTACTGGTTTTTGTGTTGTTATTATCAACATTTTATTATTTAAATGAATACCTTACGTCAAAATAAAAGTGATATACTTATATTTAGTATTTATATATATTTCACAGGCTTTATCATTTCTACATGGACAAGGAGTTATACATAGAGATATTAAATCCGACTCTATACTGTTGACATCGGATGGTCGAGTAAAATTGTCAGACTTTGGATTTTGTGCCCAAGTTTCACAAGTAAGTAAACCTATTTATATTTATGTCTGCGATTTTGTCTGTAATATAAAAATTATTATATGTTTGAAATATATTATACCAAATACTAAATGGACCTTAAGTTTTTGTTTTTATGTTATTAAATTATTGTTATTTTAATTAACATTGATAGTTTTGATGGGTATTTAAAGAAAATGGAAAAATTCCTTACATATTTTTGTGAAAACTTTATCATACTAAATATTTCAACAGAAACTTTACCAAAAATTATAAGTTACGCCCTACATACGTCACACTGCTGGGAGCACAAACCCCTTTCATTTCGGGTGCGGTTTTGCAGCAGCCGCAAAGGGAAATTTCACATTTCCTTGAAATTTATTTTTTAATTTCTTAGTATGTGTTGTGAAGGCTTTAAAGGTTTCCCGACAGCATTTTCCATCACCATTACTTGGTGGTACATACTAGTTTATAGGTGGAAGGAGTTGTTCACTGCCTTCCTTCTGAGTAGGTCCTACCCCCTTACCTGCTTTTGCTGGCAGATTTGCGTGTACTGATGTGTTCCGGTCTGAAGTGCTACGAGAGCCAGTGTGACAACAATGTACATGCTGTGTGTGTTGACAACCACCTTCCAAGTATGGCATGGCAGTATTTATTTTGAATTGAGTTGTCAGTAAAATGCTGCTGCTTATATCCTGTTCCATTTCCGTGTGTTGCCTCTTAGGACACCCATGGAATTTAGGGTAGTGAATTCTTTTACGCCGCCAAAAGGCAAAAGTCATTAATTTACATTAAATATGCATTCGTGTTTATTTAAATAAAGTTACGGTAAACAGACAACTTACATACTGGGTATAGAGCCTATCTCATATTTTCTGAAAGAGTTGTGAAAGAGGAAATAGCTTACTGCGTTGCTTTTGTACAAATTGGCTAAGTTTACTTCATTAAAGTTTGTTTACAATGTTTTAATTCGACATCAACTCATTATACACATGAAATATTTTCTGCCAAACTTCTGAATGTCTATTTGTTGTGAATATAAAATTAGAAAGTGTTTCCTCAAATAATTTATATATGGCATAAATTATGTTATAATTGTTTACCAAAACTTTAAAAGGAATTATTTTAAAACAAAAGTTATGAACTGCAGGAATTGCCAAAGCGAAAGTCTTTAGTCGGAACTCCATATTGGATGTCCCCTGAGGTAATATCAAGACTACCATACGGTCCAGAAGTAGATGTATGGTCCTTGGGCATAATGCTTGTTGAGATGGTGGATGGAGAGCCACCATTCTTCAATGAACCTCCACTTCAGGTGAGTTTCTGCTTTTAAATCATAACAAAAATTGTAATTTTTTTCATTTATACATACATTTATTTATTGGGTCACAAGTAATAATAAAATGTAAAATTTTTCTTATCCGTGTTTTCGTTGAAACACTTACCAGTAATTTTGATTAACAATAACATTTACTACACTACAGATATATCATCCATATTGGATTATAATTTATTACAGCAAGACTAACAAGACTAGATAAATAATGTAAACATGCTGACCTGTACTGAGTCCTATAACACATTAAAAAATACGCAAAGACCACTGAAGTATTATGAAATCACCACCATCACCCACACACAACACACCACACCCCCACACCACCACCACACACAACCAACACACACAACCCCCCCCCCCCACGGACTCAGACGGATTTAGTCTGTGCCAAAGATCACGCCCCCGCACTGCCGCACAGATTATGTTTGCGGTGTCTATTCTTTATTTTATATAGCACTGGGTGACAAACGAGCACACAGTTCACCTGATGGTTAGTGGATGCTGTGGCCCATAGACATCCACATTTATCTTCAACTAAGGATCAAAATGCAAATGCGTTGTCACCCATGAGGACTAAGATGGAATGCCTCGATTCCAGTAAAAGGCGTCTCCGGTTCTTTACACTCACTATACGAAACACAGCAGCGTTACGCTGCTTTTCTGTGAGAGAGTGGTCCTACCCCGGTAGAGCCGACCAATTCATGCTACAACAATAACATAACTGTATTATTTATATTCTATGTATAGATATCTACATAGCTTGTATATACTTACACAATGGATTTTCAAACGGAAGCGGTCATTGGATGTGGAAAACGAGCATTCGGGAGCACTATTCTTATCGGCCTCGGCAGTGGATCCGATCTATGGATTTGCCGCCGACCAGGTTTCGCTGGCGGGAACTAGGGACAGTGACACGTAGAAATACCAAAATTTTATACCCCACGGTTCCATCACCTCAGCGATTTTGATTATAACATATTTATTTTTATTATCACAAGCAAGGCGTATTAAAAGAGGCTGTCACAGAAATAAAATAACTGATTTAAAAAGTGAAATACACCTTGTTGATGGACGGGCGAGACTAACACTTACAAAAGTTCTTGATCAGCAGTGAACTTAAAAATACGAAAAAAGAAGTCCTTTATCAAGTCTCAATCATATAGATTATTATTGTACAAACAACAATTGTTAACCAATCTTCTATGCAAACCATTGCTGGATCTAAGGAGAGCAATGATTGTCGTGGTTCATTCTTGTACTTGTGATTTTACATGATAAATTTTTTATAACTTCTCAGGCGATGCGACGCATACGTGATATGCCGCCGCCGCGACCACGCGGTGCAGCGAGATGTCCACCCGATCTACTCCAGTTCCTCGAGTGCGCTTTAGTCAGAGATCCGGCTCAGAGGCAATCCGCGGCCAGATTGTTACATCATCCCTTCTTGCGCCGCGCCGGACCGCCGGCTTTGCTGGTGCCACTCATGCCTCCACACCATCAGAATCAACATCATCAAATCCCAGCACCGGCTCAAATGCATCAGTAGCCAAGTAAGTGGTCCTGTAGCCGTATTTCCTGTGCCTTATGTTTCCATAAAAACTAATCATATATTGTAAGACTGCCTCACTATATCGATATTTGTAATATTTTGTCGAGGCTCAAATCCATTCAGCTGATGAATTATTATATCTATGCAGGGTTATTTTTCAATGAGTAGCCAAATTTTAAACTTAAGTTCAAATATATAAATAATCATAGAATACTATAATACACAATAGAATGTCGGTCAAACTTATTTTGTACGAGATTCGGCGTCGCCGGGAGCACACATACATGCAATTACGTCATATTATCACTACTACAAACCCGATTCGCTGTTTTGACAGACTGAGTAAATTTACACATTTTAGACTTTTGATTAATGTTCAAGATCATCATTAAAAATATCGTTTAAATTTTTGTACATGTTTATATGTAAATAGTGTGCAATTTGGTATTTTCTAAATAATTTGCATGCGAAATTTGGAAACGATTGTTCGTCAAAAAAATCTCGTGGTGACATTTATACGTGTGAATTGACATGTTAGTGACATTTTAGTGGCTACACGGGCTCCGCCCACTCCCCCGTTCTATTATGTATGTAATATAGTATTCTATGTAAATAATAATATAATGTTATTGCAATTTCTGAAAATATGAGTAAATAAGGATTCTACTTTTATTTGAAATTATCCCAAAATGAATTGATTTATGAGCAACAACGTTTTTGTCTACCGATTGACCATTACGAATGTGTGCGTAAACGTGCACAGTAAAATCAGTTAAAATAATGCATTACCACGCATTTTGAATTTAAAAGATAAAAAGGACAGAATGTTCAAGATTTTTTTATTAACTTTTCTTCTCCATTTGCCTATATTACTTATTCTAAACCGTCTCTGTACATTTGGCCGGTTATTGTAAAATAATTCTGTATATCATGTGCTGTTTTGGCATTGTTCTATCTGTACATACCAATAGCACCAAATAATTGCTACTAGCAAAATATTTAAGTACTTATATGTAAAACATTATCAATGAAACAACAAAGATATTAAATAACATTCCTGGAACTATATATCTAAATATGGCAGATTCATCGCAAACCTTGTAAAATTAAGACTCTTTAAGGCCGAATACGAAGAGAACTGGCGAAATTTAATGTATTTCTCTTCACTACAACTTTGACCTGAAGTAATTCTAAGCGTTAAAACATTTTTTGTAGGTTTGTTTGGTTCCTTCACAAGGTGACCGCAGTTAAAATTTTAAAATAAATGAATATACCAACAAATAAAAAAATGTTAAGAAATGATATTTAAAAATGATTGTTCTTCCAAAACTCTGTGAATTTTAATTTAGGAAAAATTCTTTTACGTAAAAATGTTTGTATTGTGATTCCGATGGTGCCTGCTGTCTTTATTTTCGATACAAAATATTATTTATTAACATAATTCGTTTTAATTAAAAACACCTAATAATAATATCGTATATTGCCAGATAAAAGTTTGCCGTAATAAACTACCAGGCGCGTCGACGTCTGACGTTAGGTAACAACAGTCGATGTGTCTGTAGCGAAAATCGTTAATTTAGTGTTTTATACGCGTTTAAGTGACTATAAATGTAAATATGGGTAGGAAAAGAAATAAATGTTACCTAAGTGGTAAAACAAAGAGAGTTTATCGCATGAATGCTGCTCGAATGTTGTATTTTCAGGTTAATACTTATATTTTTGTAAGGTAATTTTTTGTTTGAGGCTGCTTAATAGGTTGCATTTTTACTCATTTACATTAGCTAAACTGATCATTTATACTTTTCTAGTTTCAAGTGAGAAACACTAAAAATGTAAATATCAAGACCCAGTCGGAAAAGAATGTACAGAGTAGTGCAAGCACAGAGACCGCAAATAATGTCATAGTCAATGTATTGTCCGAAAGCATGGGATAAGTACATAATTAAGAAAAACCGAAATACTTCGGATGTGAAGTGATTGACCAGTCGGAGTAGTTGGATTAATACAACACACGACTTTTTTATTTTCTTTTTTATAACGACCTGAAAAAAAAACAAAGCTTCGAAAAAAAAAAAAAAAAAACTAATATTATAAATAAGAAAGATTTATTTGAGAAGTAAGCAATGCTCTCTGTGTTGTTCATTACTCTGCATATTGAGCTTTGATTATATTATACATGTCTATATAAACAAAGCGTACGGGCGGCGCGTGGTTTGCTGCGAAACGAGCAAAGTCATTCGCGTCGTATTCGGCCTTAAGGAGTTTGCATAGAGTATTGTTATTTTATGTATTAGACTGCATGTAAACCAAACTGTATTTATAAAAGCATATTTTTGTGAAATGTAAGACAAAGCTATAAATAATAGAGATGGATAGGTTCAAGATTACTCGGGAGTTCTATCTAGAAGTAAAACCAGCTCTAAACACCTACAAGCAAGTTTTTTCTTCCTGCAATGTTTAATGGACTTAGAGCGTGAAATAAAAAAAACAGAACCTTTGTGTTTAAATAACCTAACCTAAATGACTTTATTTAGTCAAAATCTAAATTTTCATTGTAAATATTTTTATTTTATTTTAAGATGTCGCAAATTTTAAAAGTAAGGTGTAGAGGTTATTACTATGTCAGATAAATGTAATTTGTGATATTATTGTAAGAAAGTCATCAATAATTTGATTGAAGTGATACCTAGGAAACGTCATTATTTAATGAAAGTAATAATACATAATATAACGCAATTCACTCTTCGATTTATTAGTACATACTAAATTATGAAATTTCACCGTGTATTGGCGGTATAAGAATATTCACTATCCCATTTCATCCCGTGGGTGTCCTAAGAGGCGACAGAGCAAAATGAATCAAGAGATGGGCAGCAGCATCTTCTTAATCATAGAATACTATAATACACAATAGAATGGTTGTCAACCTTACTTTGTTGGAGGATTGGCGTCGCTGGAAGCACACATACAAGCAATTACGTCGTATTATCAGTTATCACTACTACAAACACATTTTAGACTTTTGATTTGTTTTTGGCACATAAATGTGTCTTAATTTTTGTTTCTAATATTCACAAAATATAAATAGTTTCGACTTACTGGTTGTAGAATATGTCTACTTTATTTAAATTCCATTTCCCGCTGTTATTTCGATACGTAATTATTGCACAATTTGCCATTTTTTAAAAATAATTTGCATGCAGCGACGCTTGACACGAAAATTGGAAATGATTGATTGTGTTGATATTTAAACGTGTGAATTGACGTGTTAGTGACATGTTAGTGGCTACACGGGCTCCGCCCACTCCCCCGTTCTATTATGTATGTATTATAGTATTCTATGTTCTTAATAACAACTAAAAGTAAATAAAACTGCAGTTGCCAACTTAAATTAATATCCAAACACAGAAATCGTAATAATAAGACAATAGAAGTAGCATAGACGTGTGCCGCTATGATGTGTTGTCGTACATCATTCATCATTTTGTGATTTAGTTGCGCGAGGAACGTCGTACGTGAATTTATGTTACTATACATTTATAATGGTGAACTGCAGCATAATCAGTTGCAAAAACTTATCAAGGACGTGTAATTCAACTAATAAAGGCTTAACATTTCATCGGTAAGTTGATTATTTACTAATTATCATTGTTTTAAGTAATTTACATCTAGATGAATACTTTACTATGATATTTACATTAGTAAACTTTAATTTATTATTTTTCGTATCATACAATTACCATTGCTGCTTTTGTTCTACCGTAATACGCGACACACGCGACGTTGACCAACTCGCCAAGCAATGTAATGTGAAACATTAGATTATATCATGCATTCCATATGTTTGTAATACGGCTGCAGGCAACGGTTCCTTAATGTGTATGTGTTAAGATGTGATGACATCGGTTTTGGAAGTTATCAAGCGCTAATTCATTTCTACTGTCTTATTATTACTATTTCTGTCTATCTAAATTATAAAAAAACAATAAATGATAACTTTTTTGGTAGGTAACTAACAAATATAAACAGTAAAAATCAACTTCTTTCAAACAATTAAAGAAAAATTAAAAATAAATTTTCTTAAATTACGAACATGAAATTGAATTTGAGACGATTTTCCAACTGTGGAATACCTTTCCTTTTATGGTACTCTGGTTCTCGATCTAGTTTCGCGTATCGTTCACAAAAGTTTTTTCAACTCCGTCCGGTACTGTTGGCTTGCGCTTCATCCTACAACTCAAGTGATACAGTACCGCAACTCGTATTCATCCAAACCTAACCATCTCTATTATATGACTAGTATTATCCAACATGTTCCTTACAAAAATATTCGATTTTGCAAATTCCCGCAACACATTAAATCATTATATCCCTTACACCAGATCTCATATCAAACATTCTCATTTGAAGAACTTATTTTGCTTTAATAGATTTAGGGTTAAAATCGCCTTTTGTTTATTATTTCGAATAACTCTGTTCTTAAGACGGCATATTTTTGACTACTCTAATTTTTAATATTCTGATAAAAGTTATTCTTATTAAAATATAACAAAAACAAATTCAAAATGTTTTATGAATAAAGTAGTATATTTGTTTCACTTTTATATTCGGTTAGGTTATAATTAAGTTAATAACTTTTATCTGACAATTGATAAATTAACTCTAACTCAAAAAACTATTCAAGTTAGACAGTTGTTTAAATTATGTAGCCATACACATCATACACAATTAATTCTATATAAGATAATTTATGGGTATCTTGTTATTAATCAACTTTTTTGTTAAAAGTCTAGGCTATTTATATCTAAAATGTTATTGTACAATTATAAACCAGAATATTAACACTAACTTAAATATATTTCCGACAGTATTGTCCATGTAAATGGAGATAAAATGATAAATTAGCTCTAACTCAAATAACTGTATTCAAGTTAGACATTTCTTTAATGTAGTCATACACTCATACTCGTGCTACACAGTTAATTTCTATACTTATA